CGTAGTAGATGAAGTGTACAAAAGTGAAACATTTTGTAACCATTTTACAATAGCGCCCATAAATTTAACTTTCTGTTTGGTACTTGGAATTTTTATAAAATTGTATCTTGCACTGTGCTGAATATTCAATAGAGCTCAGAAATTACATAGCAACTGTACTTTTATATAATTTAACAAATCCTGTTAACATGAAATATACATATAGTTCTTAGTTCCAAAGTTTATATCAACATTGTTAGTTTTACTTTTTTTAAGTTATTCAACACTTTACTGTAAAATTAAGTAAACATGAAGGTATTTTTTGTGTAACATAACTGCATGCTGATACAAAGAAATAATCTTCAAATCTCACTATAACAACAACAAAAAAAGTTATTTGATTATTACACGACATTGAGATCTTTTCTCCATAATAACAAGTTTGACATAGAAAAAGATTCATTATATATTCAGTTATACCATCTTCATATCTCATATGAAGACCATACAAAAATTATGTTTAGTATGTCATCAATTCCCCTGATAAGTGAATGACATGATTTTAAAAAATATGTTATACTAAAACCATTTAAACTGTTTCACATATGAAAAGATAAGATAAATATATGGCCAAGCAATTTCTAGCCTAATTTTTTTAAACATTATAAACAGGCTACTTTACAGACTTTCTACCCCTGGAACATTTATATATTATGGAACTAATTTCCCATTTATTCGGGTTACAATGACCACTCTGAGTTCAAGCTCTCCACATAAATACTTTAAGCTTATAGTAACAAAATCACCTTATTTGCAAACTAAAACTGAATTTTTTATCTACAAAACTAAACCCACTAAAAGATCATACTACTAACACATACATATATTACTAAAAGTAATCCTTTCAGAAAGTATAAATAATCTATTGTGACATCTAAGTAATAAAAATGAAACAGCAAAAAAATAAAAAATACAACAAACAATAATTTAGTGTTCCCTCATAAACTGCATGCAATATTTTAGATTTTATGAATATCTTTTAACAAAATAAAGAGATTCTGAGCTTATAAGCAAAGAGGAAATCTGGAAAAAACAAGCACATGATTAACATTAAATCTAAAATTATGCTAACAAAATAACTTCTGTAGATGTGATGACTTAATGTTGATCTAAGTGTGATCACTCCTCAGATACTGATGAAAAAAATAAAAGTATTTTTAAAATTTTAACCTATCAAGTGAACGTGTTGAAATGATGACTGTACAACCTCAGCTTGGCACATAAAAAAACAACAAAAAACTTTAAAATAACTTGCATGAAACTTTACGAGTAACACATCATCATGTATGGTTATTTTTCATAAAAAGAAGATAAAGCAATAGTTACAATATATGGAGATAACAAATACAAAGCAATCTTTGTAGCTCAATACTTAGTTTTCAGGTATTTTGATGATATGAAGTAGGACATCAAATTTTCTCCCAAATCATAGCTGCAGAGCAATCTTAACTTGAAAGCAAAACAAAGAAAACCTATTTCATTGGCCATTTTTGATTGACACCAGGAATACCCACTTAACAGGGTAATTGCACATTTGAAACCTGAACTTGGAAGAGCAGTATATAAACAGCCATGGCCAAGTAAGCACCACTAGGAATAACATTTCCATAAGTCACTGCACATTTTGAACCAAGATAACTACATCATTAACCCTAGCCTGTTTCAAACTAAGACCAGCAGTAAGGTTCATTATCCACTATTTGAGTTTTGTCTAAATCTGGAATAATTAAAATATGCTTATATATATATATTATTTCTCATCTGAGCCAAGACATGGTGCTTGATTATTTATTACACAATTGTTATGAACTTAACACTTGACAATCTTTCTGTATTACGAGAATTTAAAGGGCGTATTACTGACATTTGAGATTTCTAGTTGTTGCATTTCAACTGGAATTTGTTTAATTGAATGTTGCAATAATATATGAAATGATAAGAGATTTCAACTTGTATAATTATAAATTATTCATGGCAAGACTAGCTCACATTTTGCTCTTAAGTTAAAATGACATAATGTTTGTGTTGAGCTATTCATAATAATGTTTAATTAAATGCTGCATTTTTTGGCAACTTTATATGAACAAAACATTATGAAAGCATTTTTTCCATACATTAAACTATAACAACAACAATTATAATATCAGAATACATTAAGTATACTTAAGCAGGCAAGTAAAAGGGTAGAGAAATTTTCTTAATCAACTCTTTCAGAAATCTTTTATATATATCAAATGATCTTATCCATTGCACAAAATTTGCTGAAAGTGTGATCCCAACATTAAAACATAATTATTTAATTTCGTTTGTAAGGTAAAGTCTAATGTTTAATTGACAACACTTAGTAAAAGGATATTAAGGTTTGTATGAGAAACAAGTTATATTTTGCATTATTAATAATTAAAATTATCTATCTTCATAAGTTAATAATTCTCACTTTATATAAATCAGAGATTTTGCCAGAATATTTTAGACCAATTAAACCATTTCTGGACTCAGTATATACAGGATAAATAAATAAACATGTGGTACTTCCTAGCCATTATTGTCTGAAGAAAGAGAACTTGTTCTGGAAAATTTAAAAATGGTAAATTGGGAGATAATAAATCAACAAACGTAATAAAGCGCCATCTGTTGTTAATAAAGGACAATATTCTTTACTGATTATTACTAACAGAACACTACTGATGTTATACAAAACTCAGATTTGTTTATATAATAACATGTCCAATAAGTTCTGAGTTCATAAGAACACCAGATCTGGTTTAAAAACAGAATTGGTGCATTTAACCTGTTCACTACTGGGATCTAATTTCCCAAAAGGAGTCACTAAAAAGAAAACAATCACCTTCAAAAATAGTTGGTTTAAAACTACATCACCAGCCAAGTGAAAACTATTTAGAAAATTCAATGAGATTTATTGGTTATATTCTAGCTATGATACTCATATGAAACCATAATCAGTATATTAAAGCCATCTTTCTATACAACTGTACCACCAAATTAAGTCAAAATTATCCTACTGCTGTTAAAGACATCTTCCTATACAATTGCACCATCAAATTAACTCAACATTAGTCTATTACTGTCTAAAGTGGCAAACATACAACTGCCCAAGGTGTACTTGTAATGTTTTGGAATATGTCAATAAAAGTTGACAACTTGACAGAAAAAAAAAAGCTAAACTTTTTTTAAAAAAATCCAATAATAAATAAGTGGTGAATGTTAATTCTAACTTAAAAAAAAATCAGCAACTGACCTTGCTATTAACAAGATTATATTAACTAGCTTAGAGATATCCCAAAATTTATGGTACTATGGTAGTAAAGTTATAATATGAAATATGGAAAACGTAATATCTTGCTTCAAAATCATTTCATGGTCATCAAAATACTGAAATATATATGTATTACAATAGCATTTTAAACATTTCAATTAACACTTTATTTTTACCACTACTGAAAACTAGTAAGCATTTAGGAGTAGTTTTAAACTAATTAACAAAAGCTTGTTAATAGTAAGCTCAATTGCTGCCTTTTATAAAAAACAAAAGTACATTTAAAATGAAAGTTCACCACTTATTTCTTAATGTATTTAGACAAAAGCTACACTAAAAAAAAAGCCTGTCTTTTTTTTTCTGTCAAACTGCCCATTTTATTGAGATATCTTCATCAATAAGTGAGATGTTAAACAAAACACTGTGAGTACAACCAGGCAGGTATGTGTATGTGTCACCTTAAGTCATCTTTCTGTAAAACTATTGTCGCTAACTTAAACTAAACTCAGTTGTCTACTGTTAAAACAATCATCCTGTACAATTGTCCAACAGTTTAAATAAGTTATTCTTTTAGGTCTATTACTGTTGAATCAATCATTCTACACATATACAAGAGCAGTCTAAGATGAAATCAGTCTATTGCTGAATAAGCAAGCTTGCTTTACAACTGTACAAGCCACCTTAATATATAATAACATAATTTTCTAACCAGTAAAACAAACATTAATATTTTCTTCTTCTTCATCATAACTCTGTGGGACTTTTTTTTTTCTATTATAATTTTACCTGTTGTCTAAACACTTACTGTAAGACTGACATAAACCGGGCATGTAGTGTCATTGGATAGGAAAAATATGTTGAGTCCATTATTTATAAAAACAGATTGAAAGTATATCCCCATTAATCTAATAACAACTATAAAGGGTATCTACTCAACCTTTCCTTTTTCACTATGTCATTTTATCAGTTAAGATCATTCATGGTTTTGCATACTTGTAAGTATCTGCACAGCAACAAATGTAATGCTATACCTCATAATAAATAGTTATGAATATTGTACAAAACAAGTTGTAGAATTTCAGCAGCAGGACATTAAAGATCATGACATACTCATGTTAAAACTATTCATTTAGTGTAAAGACTCAAGCTATCAGTCAACAGTTCATATTTTATGATGTATATGTGTATTTAAAATTCTGGTGTTTCACTAGAATGTATACAAATTGTTCAGTTAAAATCACTAAACCATGGCACATAAACCAGATGTAAAGTTCCACACCAAAAACATAGCCACAAAACCAATTTAACAAAATCAATGTGATAAAACCCTTGATGCTCATAAACCTACAACTATGTATACATGATTTTGTTTCCTCCAATCTGCATTAGGAAAGTGCAAAAAAATGTGGTTGGTACCACTGCTTTACTGGTGATGTGTTCACAATCCTGGTTGGTACCACTGCTTTACTGGTGATGTGTCCACAATCCTGGTTGGTACCACTGCTTTACTGGTGATGTGTCCCAATCCTGGTTGGTACCACTGCGTTACTTGTGATGTGTCTACAATCCTAGTTGGTACCATTGCTGTATTGGTGACACGTCCACAATCCTGGTTGATACCACTGCTGTATTGATGACATGTCCACAATCCTGGTTGATACCACTGCTGTATTGATGACATGTCCACAATCCTGGTTGGTACCACTGCTGTATTGGTGAGGTGTCCACAATCCTGGTTGGTACCACTGCTGTATTGGTGAGGTGTCGACAATCCTGGTTGGTACCACTGCTGTATTGGTGAGGTGTCCACAATCCTAAGTTTATGCAGACCAGAAGAAACAAGTTAATGAACACCCATGAACAGTTTGCCAAGAGGTGCAATGGTTATCCAGGTTAAGAGCTGGTAGGCTGCTATGTAGATGTTCAGATCAAGATGTAATTTCTATGACAGAGATAATGAGCAAACTTCCATGACCAACAGTAAGAGCCCATCCATCATTCCCAGAAGAAATGCTTAGTATCACCTTAGCTTTGCTGAAGTTTCCCTTTAAAAACAAAACAAGAGAAAAGCACAAATATACAAACTAATCAACATGATTTAAATTGCTTTGGAAAATCAACAGAAATGAAAAATATTACACATTTTCTCTTTGCATTTTGCCATTTATGAGTGGGAATTAGAAAGGAAAAAACACTTTTTAATCACAAATTATAATTTATACATAAAAAAAGTCTAAAGAAATTGCAACTATCCATATACTGACGGTTCTGTGTTTCAATTTGAAGTTTTTACACGTAAGGAAGCCTGAACAATGAAAATAAAAACATAATTTCAAGTATACATTTAATAAACAACAATTTTACAAGTTGTTTTTACTAGAATTATATTAACTGATTATAGGTTTATTTATTTTATGCTAATATAAAAAGCTACAAATAAAATTAGCTGATGTACTCATTCAATGCATGGGAAGCTCTAAGGCTGCATGCCAAATTTGGTTGAGATAGGAGAAAATCATAGGTATAAAAAGCAGGCAGAGGCTCTCTGGGGAGGGGGGGATCAGGTATGAATGTTGAACATCATACCTCACTCCACCACTCCATGGAGTTCTCTAAGGGTGCCTTTAAAGTTTGCTACAATTAATTGATCAGGTATGAATGTTGAACATCATACCTCACTCCACCACTCCATGGAGTTCTCTAAGGGTGCCTTTAAAGATTGGTACAATTAATTGATCAGGTCTGAATGTTGAACATCATACCTCACTCCACCACTCCATGCAGTTCTCTAAGGGTGCCTTTAAAGTTTGCTACAATTAATTGATCAGGTCTGAATGTCAACCGTTCTATGTTACTACATCGTATAATAATTACATAAAGAACTTTTGGAAATTTCAAGCTGAAAGTAGCACATGTGAAAAATATGGAGTTTGAGACTAATCTCAGCAATCCCATACATTAATACACCTACAAATCTTGGAAGAAAACATTACAGGAATGTTTGAAAGTCATCTAGTGCCAAAATGACATTTGTAATAGCCACCTGAAATTTTGGAAGAAAACATTACAGGAATGTTTGAAAGTCATCTAGTGCCAAAATGACATTTGTAATAGCCACCTGAAATTTTGATATATTAGAATACAAATGGATTCAGCACATATTTTATTTTGAAATTGTATTTTGGTAGAAAATATATTTCTACAACATTACTTTTTAATAGATAGTGTCACAAATTCGCTTACTAAATTTTTATTTCATTAAAATTTTATTACAGTGGGTCACACACACACACACACATATATATATATATATATAAGAAATTGGTATTTAAAAACCACTGATAAAATAGGTTTTATAATATTTTTAAAAGCTATATTTTAAACATATACCTAATTTACAATAAATTACTACAATGAAACATCCTTGACTATATCAGTGTCTTGATCGATTTTTAATAGAATAATCTTGAAAATATTAATGTTTCCTACACGAGATGTGAATTAGATTGGGAAATAATTCAACAGCAACACTTCAAAACAATATCAGATTGTAAAAAGAATGTTGAAAGTATTAGTATTTATGATGTATAAATTACTTTAATCTAGATTATAAAATAGTGAAACTGGAATATATATACCATATCACAGATATCCAGAAAATAGAAAAACTAGCGTCGAAGCTTAGCAGCTGCTTTGATCACAGACATAGGGTGGTTGTAGGTCTCCGAACTAAGCTTACATCCAGGGACATTGTAGATTGATGACTCTATAAGATTTGGGAAAAAAAAAACTAACTTTGTTTATATTTACATGAAAGACTAAATACAAATATTTATTTATTACTAACTTAATACAATGTTTTTCCTTACTTTTTCAGTTTGTAACATAACATAAAATAAAAGAACAAGAGATCTTTTGGTCCACTAAATTAAACTAAACCCTTAAAAAAACACACTTCAAAACCAGCCCTTATCATATATATATATATACATTTATCAAGTTTTCTCTTAAACTCCCTTAAATCAACTTCATCCACCATATCCAAAGGCAACCTGTTATATGCACAAAAAGTAAAAAGGTCAATCTCCCTTTAAGAAAGGCTTAACACTGATTTTCAATATATGGTAAATATAAATACATCTGATGGTAATAGTTTTATAACGTAAGTGGTATATTTCAATCCGGAACATTCTTTAAGAACCAAGTAAATGAATTATACATGCATATCCCTACAGTCATATACAAATAATTTCAGACCGGATTTATATCTTCTATATCTTTAGGGTTTGGGGCTATTGCTAAGTAACTGATATAAATAGTTATCATCTAAGATAAAATACTGCAACTTAGTGATATGTTTATAGTTATATCCCAATTTAAAGTATGTTTAATTATAGTAAATAATATTATACCTTAAACTGAACTAGTTCACTTATTATGCTTCATACTTCAAATAAATTTGTTTTGCAATCAAGTTACAGATACAATTTATTTCAAGAAATGAAAAAAAGACAAAAAAAACACTTTATTATGTTGCCATAAAACTTTGAAACACTTTTGATGATAAGTACAAAAACTGTATTTTTCTCAATGTTAAAAAAATAAATAAATTATAGTCATAATCTAGCTAAAGCAAAAACAAAATATCAGAGCTTAAATATATATCCAGGTAAATTTAGATGTTATTGGAGTGTAGTTTTGTTCATTATGTTTGAAATTTTACACAAATATGAAAAATGGGTATCTTTATCAAATATTTTAATGGGATCTTGAAGCAGAAGACATCTAGTCACTTCTGTTGGAACCAAAAAAAGAAAAACGAACTTACGGGCTGGCAACTCATAAATTTTCCGAGGAAGTTCTTGAAAAAATTCATGACTTAAGGCCTCTGTGGCTGATATTCTCTTGTGTGGTTGTAGCTATAAAATTGTACATGAAAAAAAAAATCAATTCATTTAATTATACACACACACACACACACACTTAATCATATTGTGAAATAAATGCACAGCAAAAAATGTTATTTATAAAGTGACTTGTAGAATACAAAAAGAAGCTTTACTGATTGCAAAATTGAAGTCACAAATTAATCAAGACATGAGACTGGCATTACAATTGTGGATTTTTGTTTATTTCTCCTCTATTTAAGTGAACATTTTTAATAACTGTTTTAAATTTATTTCATGTCTGTATCTATTTTTACACCAATATTCAAATGAATTTCAATGCAAATTTAGGCTGCACACCTCCATTCATGTCGTTTGAAATTGTAGTAGTTTTGTACTTTTATTTTGTGTCAATGTAAATAATATCATCCATGTGACCTTGTTTCCTACACTCCACTATTCTATAGAACAAATTTAAATATGTATAATCTGTTAGTAACTGATAGTGAAGCAGTGTAAGAAGACTGGTCTGAAGAAGTAGAAACGAGGGAAATAAATATAATCTCTTTCTGGAGTTTATGGTTGTTTCTACATTACAGTAAACGTCTAAGTTACTCCAATCAGTATTGTACATGTTTAAATGCTAGTCTTTTCATTGCTACGTTTTTAAGAAGATATTTTTCTCCTTGTTGTGTACTGAACTTACTCAGCTCTTGAAGGGGAAAATAATAAAGAAAAAGTATGGATAGAAATATGATGAAAACTACAAAATAAATATGTAAAGAAAGACAGTATGATTAAAGTGTTGCATAAAAATGTACAGACAGAAAGACAATGAAGAAAGCTACAGCATAAGAACATGAATGGGTAAAGACAACGATGAAACTACTGCAAGAAAACATGGAGAGAAAGACAGTGAGGAAAACTACTGCATAAAAATGTACAGACAGAAAGACAATGAAGAAAGCTACAGCATAAGAACATGAATGGGTAAAGACAACGATGAAACTACTGCAAGAAAACATGGAGAGGAAGACAGTGAGGAAAACTACTGCATAAAAATGTGGAGAGTGAGACAATGATAAAAAGTACTGCATAAAAATGTGGAGAGAGAGAGACAATGATAAAAAGTACTATACAAAAATGGGGAGAGAGAGACAATGATAAAAGTACTGTATAAAAATGTGAAGAGAGAGACAATGATAAAAAGTACTGTATAAAAATGGGGAGAGAGAAAGAATGATAAAAAGTACTGCATAAAAATGGGGAGAGAGAAAGAATGATGAATCTACATCAAAATGTGAACAGTGAAAGAATGATGAATCTACATCAAAATGTGAAAAGGAAGACTGACAGTTTATTATTTGTAACAACAAGAAAAAAAATCTTTAAGCCAAAACAAGGTTGTAAGCTTTGTTACAGTAATAAACTTATCTAAACAAACTCAAGACGAGAAATAAAGGTGCAGTGTTTATTACCTGAAGAAACTGTGAAGCAATTGACTCTGCATGAGGAACATTAAGAAGTTTTGGGAATGGTTTTGAAAGGGGCTGCTTTCTGTAGTTTCCATATGTCCCTAAAAAAAAAAAATAGTAGAAAACTCACCATTAGCTAAATTTTGCTCAGACAATATGGTTAACAGATGATTGATTAGTTTAAATAAAGATTTGATTTTGTTATAAAATAATTTTATTTTCAAAGCTATCTAGCATGTACAATTAGGTCGTCAAGAAATTAATGTCGCATTTTTTAGATGACAAAACCAGAACAACTTATATATCAAAACAAAACATTTATTAAATGAAATAGTCTCCATTCTTATCGATGATACTTTTCAGTCGTACAATCAGATTGTTAATACCCTGATGAAAGAAATCACTTGGCTTTGAAGCAAAAAACATGTCCATGTCCTCTTTAACACCTTCCACATTTGCATATGTTTTCTCATTAAGATGGTGTTACAGCGAACGAAAAAGATGGTAATCTGATGATGCCATATCTGGAGAATATTGTGGGTGGGGGAGAACTTCCCAACCCAACTCCATAATCTTGTGTTGCATCAAACGTGCCACATGTGGACGTGCATTATCGTGGAGAAGAAGAACACCTTTCTGATTGACGAGTGAAGGGCGTTTCTGATTAAGGGCTTAATTTAAACATAGTAGTTGCTGACTATAGACCTCTGCATTGACAGTTCACTGTGGATTGAGGAGTTCGAAATCAATTACTCCTTTGATGTCCCGCCAAATGCAAAGCATATCACTTTCTGCGGATAGAATCCAGGTTTTGGGGTCAGAAGTGGTTTTTGTCGAGAACTGAGCCATTGTTTTTGGTGTTTAATATTCGCATAGAGAATCCATTTTTCATAACCGGTGACAATTCTGTCCAAAAATGGTTCACGCGCATTACGCGCCAGAAGAGACGAAGCAATGTTCACATGTTGGAAACGATGATCATCAGAGAGTTCGTGAGGCACCCACACACGTTCTTTATGGAGTTTTCCCATATTCCATGTTTACGTATTGTTTCATGAGAGACATGCAATTTCAGGGCCATTTCACGAATGTGTTGCATTAGTTACACTCAAC